TTGAGTTTTCCAGTAAACCACGGTTTATCATTATTAAATGATAAGAATGTCCTGGTAGGAATGCACATATCTTCACAGAAACTGATATAAGATGTTACAGTCTCTGTGAGCTCGTCCAGATCGGTGGCAGCAGCTTCAAAGACGCTCCAATCAGTGAGGTCGAAACAAGCTTGTAAATCCTGCTCTGCTTCATTAGTCCATCTTTTTACAGTCCTTAATACAGGTTTAGCTGATTTCAGTTTCTGCCTGTAGGTCGGTATTAGATGAACTAAACAGTGATCAGAGAGCCCCAAAGCTGCTCGTGGGACAGAGTGATATGCATTCTTTATTGTGGTGTAACAGTGATCTAGTATATTACTGTCTCTGGTGGGACACGTAATGTGCTGCTTGTATTTTGGCAGTTCACGGGAGAGATTTGATTTGTTAAAGTCTCCAAGAATGATTAAAATAGAATCTGGGTACCTTTGCTCCATTTCAGTTATGGTAATTTAATGGTGCTTTTGCATAAATTCCATCATCGTTGAAGCTTAAAAGTTTCAGTCCCCTTTTATTCTAATGCATAAATGCAAGAGCATTATTTAAAATTCAACCTTTCGAAAAAGAAAAGGTCATACAGGTTTGCAACGACATAAAAGTGAGTAAATGATGACAGATTTTCCAGTCTTTGGATGAACTGTTTCTTCAAGGCTTTATTGAGTGAGATTTTTAAAAAACTTTTTTTTCTTCTATGCCACAACAATCAGAATGTTTGCTTGCTTTTATACACGAGTGTTGCTGTATATTTGTGTAAAACAATCCTTCGGGAGTGTGGCCACCAATCACCAACATGTACATGCAGTAAATAAAAGGAGCTGCAGTTGAATGGCAAGCACATGTAGCACAAGCTGTGCCCTTCTCTCTCCCCCTCCCTCGATTTTTTTTTTCATCTCCCTGATCACCTCTTCATCTTTCAAGCCTGCATGCCAAGAGGGAGGAAAGCCAACATTTTCATAACTCTTATCTCCTGTTTTCTCTTTGTGACCTTTGCGGAAGTCATGTAGAGAGTGAAGGCAGCCTGTAATTAATAGACGATTAGCCTCCCCTTTCTTTCTTTCCCCTTCTCACTTTAACTTTCTTGCCACCGTTCAGTCTTTCTGTGTGTGTGGCACACCCTGAAATGGCAGATACTCAGGATGGCATTCGACCATGCCATGGTCTGAGTTTCAGGCATTCCCTGCACATGTTCTTAAGCTGTGTATGTTTAACCGAGCCCTACGCTTCACATTTACCAAAGTCTGACATTTTAAACCCTCAAAGTGCCTTGCCCAATGTAGTTCCTTACTCTACTGTTTTTGTGTTGTCTTTTGTTTTGCTGCATTGATGTTTTGTTTGATTTTGTTTTGTTGTTGTGATTTGATTTGCTTTGCTTGTGTTGAGTTTGTTTTATTTTGGTTGTGTTTTGTCTTTGCTTTGCTTGTTTTGTTGTGGTCTTTTTTTTATTTTTATTTTTTACTTTAAAAAAAAAAAAATTTTTTTTGTATTTCTTATAACATAACTCAGAAATACAAAAAACATTTAAAAGAAAAAGAGAAAAAAATAAAGAATTGAACATACAGGTCACCAGAGGCATCACATACAGTTCTTACATCCTTCTTATACAATTATTTTTATAATAGGGGTTACTTTCCCAATAACCCCCCCCCCATGCACACATAAAAAGGTGGAGGTATAAAAATAAATAATAAAAAATAAATAAATAAAATAAAAGGTTAACTGAAGTCCATAAGTTTCATTCAATTTAAGTCCTTAAAGATCAGTCCATTCAGTGTATTTCCATTTAAATAAGTACTTCTCATACTGTATATGAAGGGGCAAGAAGAAAAAATAAATAAAAATAATAATAAATAAATAAATAAATAAAAAGGGGTGGGGGGGTGGCATTCATTGTAAAACACTTAACGTCTGTTTATGTACTATCTATTTTCTTGTGTATTAACCATTTCGACCAGTTCTTATCAAATTTATCCATACTTAGTCCTAGAGCAAAGGTCATTTTCTCCATATCAAACATATCCTTTACAATCACTATCCACTCTTTTTTTGTTGGTGGATTCTCATCCAGCCATTTTTTGGTTATTGCTTTTTTACTAGCAGCCAATAACAATCTGAGAAGGTACTTGTCTTGAGCATTAAAATCAGTTGGTATGTTTCCTAAATATACAGTACCAAAGCTATGATCAATCTCAAAACCCAGTATTGATTCTATTTCATTGATTACCATTAACCAGTATGATTGGATTGCCGGACAGTTC